TTATAGTAACATTTTTCTGCTATAGAAAAGGAATTCTTTATACCCTTTATAACCCTGGAACCGTTCCTAAGTGAGATAAATGTCCACTTCAGTTTTAAAAGTACACCACTTTAGTCTTGTAGTATAGGTTTTTTTCTCCAGATTATTTTTGTTCCTATTTCAGAAATTTATAGCAATCTAGTTGGTTTTTTTCTGTAATTAAAATATGTATAAAATAGATTAATCATAGAATGATATGCTTTCATGTTAAACAAAAGTCACCCCCCAAAAGCAGAAGTTTAAAAAGACTTCTAACAATTTTTATTTTGGATATTTTAACAAACTAGTATCATTTTACTTAGAAGTACTATACACTTTTTTTTTTTTTTAAGATTTACTTATTTATGCATACAGATGTGGGCTGCAGGGGAAATGAGAGGATTCACCAGAAACAGTGGGGAGCAGAACAGTCAGATCAACAAAGAACACTGCTGAGAGGAGCAGTGGGTGAGACAGAAAAGGTCTGCTGTGCCATGTGGGTCACCTCCCTGGGATGCAACTTGTGCTGAAGCAGCTGCAGCTAACTTTGTAGTGCTGTGCTTTAATCTGTTGCACCACCAGGGAGGGCTCACATTTTAAATTAACACTAAAGAAAAAGATGTCTTCTGGCTACAATGAGGTTATAGCTCATTGTCAGCCCCTTAACTGCTTTCATCATCTTGTGTCAGGGTTACAGACACAATTTCTCATTGCTTACCTTATCTTTGTCCTGAAGTCCATTTTGCACATAATTAGATCAGTGGGTGTTATGCCATTATCTCGCCCCATGCTCTGTGGTAGCTCTCAAATGCCTAGAGTGCAATGCTGAATTTTTCAGCTGAGTTGCAGCGCCCTCTAGTGTTGGCCACAGCCTGTGTTTCCAGCTCAGTTGCTGGGTACAATTAAGCTTGTGCTTTGCAGCGGTCCCCTAATGCCACCCCCCCCCCCATAAGCCATGTCTTCCTTGCCTCCATACCTATGTCTGCTAGAGTGCCTTTGCTGGATGCCTTGTTCTCTAAGCCCTACATATTCATCAAGAACGAATTGGATCCCCTAAAGACTCCAGCACCTGTTTCATCCTTTTCCCTCAACTTAGCACTTCCTTGTGTCTACCACTCAGTAAAGCACTTAAAGGTTTCAAGAATGCTTTGTGGAAAACACTGATTCAAAAAGACACCTGCACCCCCATGTTTATTGTTGCATTATCTACAGTTGGAAAGGCATGGAATCAACCCAAATGCCCAAAAGTGGATGACTAGATTAAAAGGAAGTGGTATATATACACAGTGGAATATTACTCAGCGACCAAAAATAAATAAACACATGCCGTTTGCAGCAACATGGATAGAGCTTAGTGAAATAAGCCAGAAAGAAAAGGAAAAATACCAGATGTTTCACTCATAGCAGGAGTATAAAGGACCAGGGAAGAAAATAATAATAATAATGAACAACGATATAGCAGAGACATTTTACAGGGTGGAGTGGGGAATGGGATCAAAAACAGTGGGGGGAGGGAAATGCACTGGACTATGGTGATGGCACAGGGTGATTTGGTGATGGGAAGCCCAAGGGGATTACAACTGAGATGGAAAAAGGCACAAAGTGATGTAAAAATAAACTTTTAAATTATTAAAGTAAAAAAAAGAAATTTTTTTGTGATTCTTTAGCTGGACTGTAAGCTCCATGAAGCAGGAACCAGTCAGCCTTTGTAGTCTTAATAGTGCCAAGCACTGTGCTGGGTATGTGATAGATACTTCAATAAACATTTGTGTGTAAAATGAGACATGTGATGTGTCAAAAACACCTTATTTTTATAAAACTATGAAGCACTGATTCTAGTAGAAAATGACTTGGAGTTGGAGTAGAGGTCCTCTACTTAAAAGGATTCACAGTTTTTTCCGTATGTGTATCATTGTCTCAAGTATTTTCAATCCAGGCTATAATCTCTGTTCTTTGATTATGAAGATTTCTAAGTTACAGTGCTAAACCTGTTTCCTTTCCCCCAAAGTCATTGCAGAATCTTCCTACTTAATAAGACTTTAGTAAGATTTAATAAGACTTTAGTAAGATTTTGTGTAAGTGCCTCAAACACAGTAGGTGTTCAGGAAACGTGCTTATAGTTGCTTTCTATAAAAAAAAAAATCTATGGCCCCTGACTTTCTTAGTATGTCATACAAATAAGATCCTAGTAGGTGGAAGTCACACTCCAAAGAGGAAGCTTTTTTTTTTTTTTAAGATTTATTTATTTGTTCACATAGAACTGGGTACAGGCCAGAGATGTAGAGGTGAGAGGATTCACCAGAGACAGAGTGGGGAGCAGAACAGGCAGAACAATAAAGTACACTGCTGAGGGGAGCAGCAGGCGGGTCAGGAGAGGTCTGCCTCGCCATGTGGATCTCCTCTGGGCAGGCGGGAATTGAACTCATGCGGAGGTGGCTTAAGCTTATTAGTGCTGTGCTTTACCAGGGAAGGCCAAAGAAAGCTTTTTGCTTTCTGGTTTCCACTGGCTGAGCCTCTAAGTCTCTTCAATGGTGGGCATTTTTTTTGGACGCTTTGCTTTTCAAACAAAGAAGGTGATACCCCTTCTTGGTCTGCTGTCTCCATCAGGTCGTCTGGCTTTTCCCTGCCTCTGGTCCCTCCATCCTCACCAGAGGACTTAATTCTGCCCTAGTTGACAGGTCTACTCCATGAGCCAACACACCAGGACAAAGCATCCACCTTGACTGTGCTATCAAGACGTTGACAAGTTGCTCCCGGCTCAGACCACGTGTTCTGTACAGGCTACCTGCTGTTACTATCCATCCCTATTTGGCACTTTCTCAAGAGCACCCAGAGGTGCTTTAGCAGCCCTTTCTTGCACTAGTAGATCTTGGGGTTCAGTATTCTATTACCAGCCAGCATGATCAGTAGCTGATAACTTAGGATTTCCTTTGCGTTTTCCTAAGTCTTAAAGAGGAAGATAAGGGGTTATTGGTTTCCTGTTATATGGCGACACTGTTTCATTTATTATCATTTACTCTTTCCAACAAATCATAATACAAAAGGACAAATAAGCTTAGATAATGTACCCCCAAAGTTGCTAACCTATGAAACAGCTGCTGTGCAGCCTGAAGCCAAACTTCATTGAAATAGGATGTGGTGGCATGTTCTGACCTCACAGGGCAGAGGTGGCCCACATAAGGGAGTGAAGGTGGCCATCTGAGGAAACCCTAAAGGCAACCACTTGCAATTCCGCCTGGCAGATATGAGGAGGGATGACAGCAAGGAAAGAGTCAAGAAACTTAAGGTGTGTGGCTAGTTCAAGAAACAATGCCATTTTAAAAAAAGTTTATTTATGCATATAAGAACTGGGGTACATGCCAGTGTGTGCTGGGGGGATGGTGTGAGAAAATTCATTAGAGAGGGGAACAGAACAGGCAGATCTACTGAAATACACTGCTGAGGAGAACAACGGGTGGGACAGGAGAGGTCTGTGCCAGGTCAGCTCCCTGGCTGGGAATTGAACTAGTGCTGCAGTGGCTGCAGGTAGCGTCATAGTGCTGAGACTTAACCCCTTGCACCACCAGGGAGGCCCAATAATGGCTATTTTTAAAAACCAATTTTTAATTGATTTGTGGGGCCATCCCATGATCAAGATAGACTGACAGGGAGACTTTGGAGGACTTTCTCTGGGATCCTAGGCAGAGCTATCAACAATGAATAGCTCTAGAGATTTATACGTATATGCTGGTTGGTGTTCTAGAAAGGCCAACCTGATGTCTGGTTGCCATTAGCACACAGATGATAAGGCATTAGAAGCCAAGATATGGATTGTTCATGTGGACAGAGCTTATACTGCAAGGTGTTCATGATATGGTGGTCCATGAACCAACTTTTTTTTTTTTATAACTGTGAGTATATCGTGCACATGTGGCTTTTTCTCCAAAAAAGCCATTTTCATCAGTCTTAACTGTTTCTGAAAAGTCAAACCTTGAGTATAGTGTACTCTGGAGAGATGAGGCCAGGACATAGCACTGAAGGACTGATGGGAAAGTAGCCCACCCAGAGGCTGCGATGCCAGAGAATGTGGAGCACCACACAGGTTCTGCATCCAGGCGCTGTGTGCAGGCAGCGAGGGTGGACAGGACCTAAGGCCAAAGGTAGGGAGGACTGAGGTGATTGTTCGGTCCCACTACATTCTGTAGGGTGGGTGGAAGCTCAGGGAAAGAATGCCCAGGGTTACAGGGCTGCAAAAGGACTGAAAACCAGCCTTAACCCAGTGCCCACAAAGCTGAGCAAGGCGGAAGTGAGAAGATATTCCAGAAGCAACTAGCAGTCAGGGCAGGTATGGTGGTGTGGGCTGCAGTATTGTGCTCCAGTTAGAAATTCCACTATTTCTCTCATTTGGTGGTTCTAAGGTGTTATCTTCAATTAACTGCTGGAGAAAATGTACCCTCACAGGTTGTTGAAGTTCTGAGTTAGGATAGTAGTAAAACATGACTCCCAAGCTGTATGAATAGGAGTCCTGTGAAGTGACAGCCGGAAGGATCCTCAGACAAATGGATCCTTCTCCCCTCTTTACTGGGGGAGAAATGGAGTCACGTAAGGGTTAAGTAACTCACTCAGCCACAATGCAAAAAAGAAAGAGCTAGATTTCTTTATGTCTATGGCTTTCTCCAAGGACAATATATTTTTGTTATAGTTAGGGAAAGTTAATTACAGAATACCTCCCGAAATGTAAAAAGATGGTATATATATTTTTTATAGTTTATTTTTACATCATTTTGTGCATTTTTCCATCTCAGTTGTAATCCCCATGGGCTTCCTCACAGCAACTCACCCGTGTGCCATCACCAAAAAGATGGTATACTTTAAAATTCACTGATACCTTAACTAATACATAAATATGTAAAAAATAAAATAAAATTACTGGTGACCTATGTTTCATAGAAACCCCTTACACTTAAATAACTTAGACACAAAATAATATTTGATTAGCAGAACAGTTTATTAACAAATGAAATGACATCGCTAGATTGCAATACTTAGGTAGATCCTTTATAATAAACATCACAAACATAGTTCATGAAACCAGAAGAAAAGGACCAGCTCACCCTCCCTGCATGGGTTGTAATTCATTAACAACTCATCTTCATCCTATAGAAGATTAAGCATGATTTATGTGGAATTGCACCAAGGCACTTTCTTTAGTTATAAAAGATACATGTAGTACAAAATATGTTCCTAAGAGTCATTTGCCTTGAATAATTGGGGAGGGAGGCATACTTATTACAAAGGAGACCATAAAAGGTAGCATATACTGTTTTGTTCACAATAATTTTTGAGAATTATGGTAGCATCCAAACTCAAAACAGTAATTACTCAACTGCTTGAATTGAAAAGGCAAAAGCTGTTTGATTCCCAGCATCTTATTATTTTAGGGATGAGGGATTTGTGGGGGAAGAAACTTCCCTAAAATAAATCTGCAGTTGAAAATCCTCTCTGGCTTAGGCTTCTTGTCAGTATACCAACTGAAAAATCTCCCATTAGAAACTGTAACTTGGATCTTGTAGTAGTATTGTAATGATCAGCATTTCCAGAGCCAAGTCTGAGAAATGGTATACAAGATCCCAGTGTAGACTTAAAACCATGCTAACTTTTTGAAGACATGTCTCCTTCATTATTCCAGTTTTCATAGTTCAATAATTCACCTTCCTCTTTTATACCGTAAGATAAAAATTACACATCAAAAGCAAACTATTAATATAGTGCTCTTATATTTGCTAATTATATTTAAAATGGTTATTTTAAAATTTCAATTGCAAAACATTTTAAAAATACTCCTCAGTATAAAAAATATCTTATAAAAATAGATTTTCCCCACTCCCAACATCCAAATTCTCCATTCCTAAAGTTATTAAAAAACCTAAAATGTTCACCTCTAACTTATAATATTTCAATGGTATTTTAAGAGTAGGCTATGATAACAGACCAGCTGGTGTATTATTTTGGCTTGTTCCATTACAATTTTCATACTTGTTATTAGCACTCAAACTAATTATTCAATTTATAGTTATTTAAAATCTTCATACAAAAAAAAAAAAAAGCCAAATTAGTTCAGCACTTAAAAGCTTCCCAGATCCAACTTTGCAGTTTTCTAAGCCTAGTTTTTATAAAGCATCACTAGGGCAGATAGAAAATATTAAGAGGGGAAAAAAGAGAAAAACATTAAAGAACAGGACAATTAAAGTCTAAGTCCTAACATGTTTTTAACCACATCACTGTGGAGTCATTCTCTGAATAGACCAGGGACACCCACCCTTCGTCTGCCATGGTGGTGTCCTGCTCAGCCCTCAGTCCACTCAGTGCAGCCCTCCACAGTCCACTCAGTGCTAGTACCCCCGCTAGGAGAGATACCACACAACCCACCTCCTGGATGTAGTGTCCAACCCGGCACTTGGCCAAGGCCCCAGACTCCTGCTCGGATCCTCTACATTGGTGCAAAAAGAACCCGTGTCATTTACAGCAATTCATGAGAATATTAATGAGGTTCACAGAACTCAGATTTGTCATTATAACTGAGAGACTCAATTTAAGCTCCCAGGCAACTGACTTTAACCCTTTTCTCACTTTTTCTTAAGCTTAGGGCTAGTGCCCTTACAGTGTTCTTGGCAATAAATTACTCAAGAGAACATCCCTGCGGAGAACTGACTATTCTGTTCAGGTGTAGTGATCATCATTAGAAAAGTCTAACTCATTTTCAAAGGTCACCATTATCACAGTAAATTTACCAACAACACATTTTGGCTTCAGTGTCTACTAGTGTTTAAAGTTAACTCAGAAAAAAGAAAGCAAACTTTGTAAGGGGGGAAAGTTTAAAACTAAAACTACATCAGGTAATCCAAATATTGTTTTCCTTTGATCCTACTTGAAAAAAATAATAATAATAATAAAAAAGCAATTAGACATCTGTCTGTTTTACCACGATCAGAAGCACAGATGAGCTCGGCTCAGTCTAGACAGAAGACACAGGCTGTGCAATTGGTTCCCTCTCATTTCTCCTTTCTGTATGGTCTGAGATGGTGTTCACAAATCCCTCTTGTTAGGACAATATTCTTTTTAAAAAGAAAGGCTCTAAGAAATCTAGCCATAAAGGATACACACAGTACATTTCAATTAAATGGCCATTTTAAGGTATCTGGAATGTAGCACATTGGTCAATAAGCAATGATAAAATGCTTCCTGAAGTTTAGAGAAAGCACACAGTATTTTTACAACAATGAAGTGTAAATTATCACCTAAAGAAATAATGCCCACGCCCGTGAACAAACAAGCAAATGAAAAGATGTTTGCTGGTGAATTAGGCTTTAGTTTCAGGTTTGGCTCTTGCAAATCCTAGCAATCAAAAATGTTTAACAGTGTGGAAGTCTAGGCAGACCTTAACCCAAGCAGAGATGTAAAATCTCGCGAAATCTTAAATGTCTTTAACAAATGGCTACTGAAAGTAGACTTTTGTTTAAGAGGGAGAGAAACAAACCAGAACACAGTCCGAGAACTTGCTAATTGCATAAAGCTGCAGAATAGGTTATATCCACAAGTGGACAGAAATGTCAGAGAAAGATCAGGTCTGCTCATTCTATTTTTCTGAGGGATTTCCCACATTCTTTGGACTGGAAATTTAGTGTTTGCTATGTCACTGTTAGTTAATTATTGGGTAGTCCTAAGTCCTAAACACCTTTTTTTTTTTTTCTTTCAGATGGCATTAAACATCTATAATGGTCTCAATTCAAAACTTGCTTGAAGAGGAATTAAAAACATGACAGAACAAGATACCAAACTTCACCATTATGGTTGCTAGGACCAGACAGAAAGGACACACGCTGGCTAACAAACCACAAACTACAAGCACAGCACAGCAGCTAACATTTCTGAAATTCTATTCAAGTTTTAAAAGGACATTAAAAATTCAGGATTCTATTACATTTTAATCATGATATTGATACATCACCATAACAACAGAAATCCAACTTTTCTACTGAGAAATATATTTTTAATAATGCAAAGGTGAAAAAAATAATGCAGAGGTGTTTTCCATGTAAACAGAGCTCAGCCAATAAGAGGGCAGTATCTGCTTTTCTAATATGGAGTCAACAAGAAAGCTAAATATATTTAAAAGAATCCCACTCTAATAGAAGCCTCACATGAGGGTTTGCTTCTCATAAATATTTAACTTGTTTAGAATATAGCATCAGGTTCAAAAATAATTGTGCAACTTTTGTAATAGTTTTATTTAAAATATCATGACCAAATGTTTCAATCTCACATAAATTAGTATCCTCGTTTTAGTCCTGGAAAATCTGTTTTTTTTCTCAACTAATGAAGTCCAGATACAGAACTAAAAGCATTTGCTGCTAGACGGTCTTGCTTCTCAAAAGAAACTATTCCTGTAGCTGCAGCCTGTGACCAACTAGCATAAATAACACACCCACAGAGCCTGTGTTCTCTAAAGGTGATGCTGCTAAGTCCTCCTGAATAATTGTTTTTGCATGATCCAAAAAGAGTTAAAAGTTGCTGTCATCAATAATTACTGCCGTGTGGCAGTGAGCATTAGCTTTATTTTCACTAAAATATCTACACTGAATTATTGATGTGCTTTTGGAAGCACTCGATCTTCTGTGCATTCTCTTCTGTTGGTTATATTCTGCTTAGGGAGTAAGTTCTCTTTCTGAGAAATTGTCAGTCCCCAGCCTACTCTTGCTAAAATGTCGTTTGAGGAGGAAAAAAATAATTCAGAGCTGTAAACACATTCTCCCCGTCACCCTTTTTTGCGATATATCCTTAGCAGGTTGCCTCAAACTCATTCAAGTGCCATGTAGGACTGCTGAGTCAGTCTTCTGCCTTTTATTAAGCAAGCTGGCACTGGCAATCAGATTTAGCCATTTAGATTTCACGGGGAAAAAAACAAAAACAAAGAAGATTTCATGGGAAACAACTAAATGGAAGCTCACATGAGGCTTAACTGAGGCGAAGCACTCAGAAACAGGGACAGAGAAAAGATAGGGAGGAGTCCGATGGTGTTGGCTGACTGAAGAACTCTTCCCTTACCTATTCACTCTAAACAAAAAGGCTGACTAAAAACACCAAGTGTATTATGCTGTACACTGTCAGATTTCACAAGCCGGCCCAACTGTCCCAGTAACTTTGCTGCATAGGAAGCAGAAACTGGAAACTGAGATGCACAAGTGAAACCTCCTAGCCTGTTGGTCACCTTGTGCTCCCAGAGCCTCCTCACCTGCGGCCACAGGAGTGGGCACCTTCTCGACTGTGTCCTTTATTGCTCCCACACCTGACATGAGTGTCAAGCTTCACCTCTTGGCCTCCTGAAGAAGGAAGAGACCGAAAGCCTAGCTTCTGAAACAGGATGGCCATTAAGTTGGGGGCTACTTTACGTTTCAGTTCAATAGCTATTTGATTCCAAGAGTACCTCATATCTGTGAGAAAGCCGGACACCACACATTGTCTTTCTTTGATTCTACCATACTATAATTTCTACTGCATTGGATGTCTATAAAAGCCATCTTTCTCCAGTCAATAGGTTAAATTTTCAAGTGCACGTTTTCACTGGAAATGCCTTTTGGTGGAAATTGTTCCTCCTTCAGTCTGCTTTCCCTCTCAATCACTGGAAAGACTCAGACCATTGGGAGTACAGATCTCTTTCTGATTTTGAGAGTCCTCTGCAAAAGCCACTGCTTCATATATACTATAAAACAGAAGGTTTTCTTCTTCCTTCTTGCAATACTCTCCACAGGCCAGGGACTCCCTCACAGAGGGATTGCACTGAGCCAGCAGAACCTGGATGCCAATGGCTTCATAGTCTCTGCGGACTTCTTTCAGTGCATGGATCCCTGCTGTATCTAAAAACTGGATTGCGCTGCAGTCAATCACTATGGTGTGGAGCTCCAAGGGGTTGTGGGAAAGCTGCACTGACACTTCGTCCTGGATCCCACTGAGAGCCAGCCCTTCCTTTTTCATCGTTCGCTTTGCTTCCTTCTTCCGAGCAGCCATCACTAAGACTGGGTTGAGGGTTTTTTTGTACAGAGCAGATTTAAAACATTCTTTATTTATGTAGTAGAGAGGGGCTATAAAGCGGAAGATCTTAATGCCCGGCTTAGTCTGAAGATTCTTGTAAACAGACATGGATTCAAAGATGTTAGAGTCTTCGACCAAGCCAAGCAATGAAATCTTAGGCTTCTGACTGCGGAGGATGACACAAAACATAGAAAAACAAACCCCAATAAGTAGGCCTATTTCAGTGCTTATCAATGCAGAGGACAGCATAGTCACAAACCAGATAACCGTGTCCATTCTGCTGACTCTCCACATCTTGGGCAGGTCCTTAAACTTACGCAGGGCTCCCTGGAGATTTACAATCGTGATCACGCCAAGGACACTTTTCTGAAGGGAATAAAACAGAGGAGCGATTACCAGGAGTACCAACAAGAGAACCAGAGCTGTCACCACACCGGAGAGCTGAGTATGGCAGCCCGTCGATTCTTTAACCAAAGTCTTTGCAAGAGCTGCGCTAGTAGTAAAGCAGTGGAAGAAGGAAGGGATGATATTGCAAAAGCCGATGGCATACATTTCCTGATTAGCTTTGACTGTGTAGCCATGTTTTTTGGCAAACATCTCAGAAAGTGACACGGTGATAGCAAAACCAATGATAGAAATAGCTATTGCATCTACTGCTACGCTGGGAATCAAGCCCCAGTCCGGTGCCTCAGGAGGCATAAACCCTGTGGGGATGTGTCCAGCGATGCTCGTGTTGTATTTCTCATTCAGTTTCCCAAAATGCGAGGCTAACGTGGCTGCCACGACGACAATGAGTTCTGTAGGAATTGGTGCCTTCAGCTTTGACTTGAAGCGCTCGTTGAGTTCTTTGGTTGGCAAGAGAACCAAAAGGCACAAAATGCTAGTGACGAGATCACAGAGATTGGTCTTATGGATGTTTTTGAAGATATGTATCCACGTCGTGATGAGTGAGCCCACACCACTACTCCGAGGAAGGCTGAGCCCAAGGAGATACTTGGCCTGAGATGTAAGAATAGTGAAGGAGGCACCAGTGACGAATCCACTCAACAAGGCATCCGAGAGGTAGACAGAAACGAAGCCCACTTGAAAGAAGCCCATCACTACCTGGGGGGAAGGATGGACAAGTGTTAAATATAAATGGAAAACAGCGTGTGCAGCCTGCATTGCCCTGGCACTTCTCTGCATGGAGGTGGGGCGTCGCAAATGGTCAGAGCTCGCAAAAGGCAATCGTATTTAGATTACACTGTCACTGGCTCAGCTGAGAACAGCCTCTAGTATTCCAGGCTTCCTGTACAATGTTTCTTAACTTCAGTAGGTTTCAGAGCTCTTTTACGAAGAAGAAAAATTCTCAACGATGGCAGAAAACCATGAAAACTCAAGTTGGAAAAGTTTCTCTAATTAAAAATCCATGTACTTTCTTTAAATGATAAAGCCTTGCTGTAAAAGGAAGTTTGAACTGACCAAAAAATTAGATTCACATCAAGAGATAATCTTACGGAGCCCTGGTCAACCTCGCTTAGTGGGTGTGTATGTGCTTGTGCCACACTGCTCCGTGGCAACTCCGCATCCTCAAGGGCACAGCTTCGTATGTCTTTATTTTTTTCTTCCCAACAGTTCCTCAGAACTCTGTTGTGCCCTTCCTCATTCTTGGTGAACCATGCACAACAAAGCCAGGTGGGCTCTGAGGAGCACAGGTTGTATGCACCCCCTGCTTTCTCTCCTCCTCATCCAGGCACCAGATAAAGCATCCCGCCACCCCACTCCATTCCAAATGCCTGTGACAGAGGCTTAGTGCCGGCACATTCACTGGAGGCCATAAGGCAGGGCACATGGTGATCGTGTGGGTTCTAGTGGGTTCTAGAAGAGACCCAAGAATTTCATTTCTAAGAATTACATTTCTAGTTCTCTCTACTGGCTGATAATATGAAATAGTAGCTTTTCTCTTCCCAGCAGGCAAAGGAATTACTATCTTTAGGGAGAGTCACCTCAGCAGTGAGCAGCAGTTCTAAAGGTGTAGAGTGGCTACACCTTGAAGCACCCCACCTGCTTCCACCTTGGGCCCCCTTCTGTTTCCTTCCTACCTGAGTATTAGTGTGGACTCTGCCAATAACCAACTGCACAAACTCAAATAAATGGATGTTTCTTGACTCAGAAAATGAAGGCGATATAGTAAGTGGTCTGAGGTTCCATTCTGGACTAAATCCTTACAACCAAATAATAAAAGCCTGGTTCACTGAAACTCACTAGCAAAAAGACACTGAGAACACATAGGCAGTTTTACCTATGGAGTTAAACCAGGGTTTGAATTGGGGCTCCATCCTTCCATATCCTGCGCATTCAATAAATGGCAGCTTTGATTATCATCATCTCTACACTCTTACCATCTGAGAGTCTATGCATGTGTCATGATTTCTTTCTTACCTGATAAACTCCAGCCATAAAGGTGACAGTAGAGCCAACTCTAATTGCATAGCAACTTCTGTCACATTCCCAGACTGATGTCTGGTTTAATAAAGCGCTCGCATTTGAAGCCACTGCTACAGAAGAAGAAACATGGGCAGTGTCGTAGCCAGCTTTGTGTAGTTCTCGGTCAACCACCTCGCCAATCATAAGGCACAGTACTCCAAAAATGCCCACAGACATGTGACGGGAAGTACCCAGCAGGAAATAAATGATGCTGGCGAAAAAAGATGTGTACAGACCATAGATAGGCTGCTGGCCAGCCAGGAGGGAATAAGCAATGGACTGGGGCACCAATAAGATGCCCACAATCAGGCCTGACATCATATCTCCTAAGATGTTATTCTTTATATCATATTTTGGAAGCCACTGCAGCACAGGAAGGAAACCAAAAATTGTAGTTTTGACTTTTCTTGGGCTGCACTGACAGCTCTTCCGCAGCTTTGTCGTGATGACCTGCTTGAAGTTTGTATTTGACTTCTCGTGAGGCTCTAAGTAGACTCGAGGAAAAGGTCTGCATTGACCACTGGCCTCCAACTGCATGAACTCAGTCCTCGATCCATTCTCCAGCTCCAGCTGGATCCTAGGTGAAGGACTGTGGTGGTCATTTCCATCAATTGAGTCCTTCTGAGAATGCCCATGTAGCTCTTCACTTTCGGAGGACATTTCTGGAGATGGCTGCTTTAGCTTCCTACCCCAGGCAAAATACCAGGATTAGTAATTAAGTAATTCCCAGTGCTCACACATTTGAACAGTTCTATTTATCATTCATGAGTGTTAATTTCTAAGAAGATAGATAATTTCTTTTTTTTTTAAAGATTTATTTATTTGTGCATACAGAACTGGGGTACAGGCCAGAGGTGCAGGGGAGGTGAGAGGATTCACCAGAGACAGAGTGGGGAGCAGAACAGGCCGACTGATGAAGTACACAGCTGAGGGGAGCAGCGGGTG